CATTTGTAAGTCGCTTTGGATAAAAGTGTCTGCTAAATGACTAAATGTAAATGTAATGTAATGTAAATTAAATAACTGACTGATTTTATAAACAAAGAAAGTCAATTAAAAAACTAGGAACATCATTGTGAAATCAAAATTGTGGATGTGGATTTCAGCAGTGTGCTGCTGCCCCCTATAGAACAGGATGACACTCACTCTGCAATGGCAGCAGGTGAGATTTCCTCCAGGTTCTCCATGCTCCACTCTTCCAAGAACTCCAGGATGGGGGACGGCTGAGATCCCACAGAAATGTAGGCCATGAGCGCTAAATTCTTCACCAAACCTACAGCATGGCCCTGCAACAAAATTTCACTCCATCTTAATCACTCCATTGAAAACTTAGGTTAGGTTTGAAGGTCACATGCATACTAGTGTTACGGTATCCTACCTCTGGGGTCTCAGCAGGGCACACCATACCCCACAGTGTGTTATGAAGCTGCCTAGGTTTGGCCAGCTTGCCATCTCGTCCTATAGGCGAGTTTACACGGCGCAGGTGGGAAAGAGTGGAAGCGAAGGTCAACCTGTTCAACACCTTTGTATTTAAAAAGTCAATGAGGAAACAAATGAGCACCTTGAAATTCTAATGAACAGTGAGTGAACTGTTAGTAAAAATTAAGAAACATTTGTAAACAGAAAAGAAAGCATATCTGAGCTCACCTGCGATACTCCAGCTCTTGCCTGATGAGCTTTCTTTACATCCCCCCAGTTTCCCGTGGCCAGAGAGTACTTGAGTCCGTCAGAAATGATGCGTGTCTTAATGGCCAGCTCCAGATTAAAGTCTTTCCCCCTGTCAATAAACTTCTGTGCGTAGATCCTGATCTCCTTCAGCAGATTCTTGAACATTCTGGAAAACACAGAGACAGATTTCAACTCTGGATGTAATTTTCATTTTGAACCATACACAAGAATTATTTAATTAATGCATCTTGAATGTTTAATGAATGTTTGATTCTTACCCTCTGAAAAGGAATGCAAGCAGGGGTCCAGCGAGATCAAGCCTCTTGTTGCCATAGTGATCTCTGTCATCCAGCTCTCGTCTGCCCAGAGCGGCCAACAATAGTCTGTGAACCATGTAACTAAACAGAGAAAGCAAACAGTATTTAATTATATTACACGATATTAGAATGATTTATGAAGGCTTATATGACACTGAGTAATGGTTACTGAAAATTCAGCTGTCATCATACAAATAAACTACATTTTAAAATATATTAAAACAGTCACATTAAATTGTCATAATATTTCACAATATTACTGGGTTTTTTTAGTCAAAAAGCTACAGCCAACAGGATAAATTCATAATACTATTTTACCCTAGAAAATATGCTTTCTTGGTCTCGCAGAAATCTGATACACCAACATGTGGCAGCACCTCCTTCTGCAAAACCTCTTTAGCATATTTGATTCTTCTCTCTTTGGTGACACCAGGTTTGGCCCCTCTAGAGCCAATGAAGTTCAAAGCCACATTCTGTTCCTGAATCACAAAGGCCTCATCTAACGATGGCTTCACCTGTGGGAAAAAGCAGAGAAAGCTGTTATAAGTCTGGACCTGAATCACAAATGAAATGGTGCTTATAAAATAAACCTCTACTAAACAAAAGATTGCTTAAGTTTTCACAAAATTGGACAAACCATTTCCATCATCTCAGGATCATCAAAATCATAGATGATGTGTTCCAAGATGTCTCTATCAGACACAAATCCCAAAGCACGGAATACTATGATGATGGGTACTTCCTGCCGGATATACGGCAAAGTGGAAACAATCCTCTGGCCGATGGCACTTTTCTTTACTCCCTGGATGCAGAAGAAATATTTGCATAGGATTCTGTGCACTAAGAGTTAAAGAAACCAAAAACCACTCAACTTGGCTCAATCTGCAAGCAGAATACTTGCTTACAGTCTACAGATACTGACCTGTCCTCCACGGGCCATCATGCTGACCCAGATGGTGCTGGTGGGTCTGGAGGAGTTCTCCAGACATGACCTGCACTCTCCTGTGTAAGCATACTTGGAGTCTTTCTTGGCAAACACATACACTGTGTTAGTGGCCATCTTCTCTTGAGCAATCAGGACCTGGAGAAATGACAGAACACATTACACTTAATCTAAATCAGACTTTTGAAACAAAATTCAATTGGTGTACTGTAAAATGTCAACAAACTATGTCATACAATTTCATTAACAAAATAACTCTATGATGTCTTTAATGCAGTATTATGAAGAAAAAAAACTGACCTTCTCTGAACCATTAATGATGAAGTAGCCTCCAGGGTCCAGTGGGCACTCATTCAACTCACAAAGATCACGATCTGTTAGGCCGCTGAGGAGACAGTACGTGGAACGGAGCATGATGGGAATTTTGCCGATGAAGGTTTTCTGATGCTGTGTCTGCTGTTGCTCTTCCCCATCTTTTATGATGGTCTTTGTGATATCCACATACAGAGGGGCAGAATACCTGCAAGTCACAGCACGCATTCAGATAAAACATGTGATAAAAGCTCTGCCTGCCTCTGTCAAATATGTAGGACAAATATGAGGTTCACACAAAATCATGCAACTTAATTCTCTTTAACGCAAATTTCTAATGTCTGTAAATTATCAACATGATGAAAACTTTGCTGAAAAGTCTGTCATCTGTTTGATAGTTTATACTTTTTTAGTATGTAAAAGGCCTTTTAGAATAATTCTAAAAACTGTGAAATCTACTGTATACAGATTTTTATAAGAATAATTTTTATATCATTAGTAACATTTCAAGAGGAAGACATACTAGACTAAAACAACTTATGTTTACTTGATTATTCATACATCATTTTCAGAAAAATAATGTTAAAATGGTTGTATCAATAATGATACATAAGCCTTTCGAGGAACGTTTATTTGTTCATCTCTAAATCATCATTGTATTGCATCGCATTATATGTTTTGCCCACAGTCCCACACAAGAAAAACTGCAGAGCTTTGATCATAACACTACGCGCTTAAATATTAAGTGAAAGTAAACAACTTAAGACATTGCAACACATATTTTTGGGAGATAAAGAGTGACAAATTATATTTATATGCATTTTATGTAGGTCCTCTGTTATACTGTTATAAAGGTCTCAATGATTCACACTACAAGCTATCAGAATTTCATCTTATACTTCTGTATATTTTTTCTCAGTTTGGGCCTCTAAATAAAATTGAGGGGGTTTTTTTGTCCTCAAATATTAGTTCTATATTCTCCTATATCATACTATATGAGCCGTAAAAGCCTGATGTATTAAATATAATAATCAAAAACAAACACGCAAACTTTTTGGAAATGTTCTTTTTTTAATATTTTGTCTAAAGGTTCAAAACTCACGTGAGATTTCGGAGTCTAGCTTCGTTTGGCATCATAGGTGATGGAGCGCCATCTCTTTCCCAGTGAGTGGGTTTGGACAGATAGATTTGCTCAAACTTTAGGAGGTACCGAGGCTGCAGAAAAAAAATCAAATGAGAAACAGTCAATTTATTTTAGAAAGGACCATAACCACATATGATAAAAGGGCACTGATTCCAGCCACTCACCGGTTCCTCCACCTCTCCAGATGTGTGCTGGGCCTCAGCCTGCAGGTCAATGGGTGGAGCATCCTCCACAATTCTCTGCACAGACATCTGGATAAACTCATCGAATGAGTCCAGCTGCTGTCGCACCAAACCTTTTTCATCAAAGTATGAGCTGGAAAGAGAATTGAGACAAGAAACAAGCAAAGCTATGTCAAAGTTTCCTCTTACTAATTAGATGCATCATTATAGTTATATATATATATATTGCAATGACAATTATTTTTATTACACAATTACCTGATAACAATCCAACAGGCCTCCTGCCACAAATCAGGGGTGATTTCATCATCATCTTCATCATACTGGATATCTACAACAATTACGAAAATTGAAGTTATTTACTCGTACAAAGAGTTGATCTAGGGCAAATAGTGTAACAACACTGTAGCTGACAAATCATGCTTACTATCAAATTCATTACTTTAGACTTATCTCTATCAATATATGAATAGCTATAAACTCTATACTTATTACAATAAAAGTTGGTTGGTTTTGCATAACTCTATTTGCGACCAAGCTAGCTTTAGCCTGTTAGCCAGTTACGTTGTGTTAACGCTTAACTACAGTATCTAACTACACATTTCACTGCAATAAAACATAGAGAAACACAGATAACTATATTTCTTCTCACATACCTTCGTCTTGATCGTACATGATATTTGCTGGTGAATAACTTTAATTCTGATTCAATTAAAAAGAGGTTATCTGCGCGCCTCACTCCACGGCGCTTTGCGTCTGAGCCGCTATGAACAACACAAACCAAAGTATAGGTCTCTGCAGGACAGTAATGGTTCCGTCATTCTCTTCATTCACACCACAGTCATCGCCAAACCCGCCACGGCGTCTTTCCTTCGCCATGACGCCCCACTCCGTTCCTCGTGATCCTGCCCAGTAATGGGAGTTACCGGATCGGGGCGTTTTTAGACCATGTTTCCTGACGTCATAGTGATGGTAGGTTTAGGGGTGGGGTTAGGTAAGGGAGATCATTTCGATTGCATGATTGAGAAACACCCTGCAGTTTGAAAACACCCACAAATTCAGAAACGCCCACTTTTGCTCTGCAGAGACTTCAATCTCACACAAACGGCTACGGAATTATACGTCACTTCCGAAGCAAGTGATATTATTATATTTATTCACATGTATTTAAGCATTTATGATTTAGTAATTCATGGTATGGATGTTAAATAACATACGTTAAATAAAAACTAACATGTTTTTACATATTAATATTTGTCCAAAAAAAAAAAAAAAAAAAATGTTTCCGGTGACGTACATTATACCAGCGATATATGGCACGTGGGTTCGTTGTTTTTCAAGGTTGTATAAACTGTAGTGATGTTACTGTTCTTTTAACATATTGTGCGATTTGCTATAATAATGTACAAGTTTTTAGGAGCATCGGCATTCCAATTCTACACTCGTAGGTGCTTAAAACCTGTTTCAAGCCCGCAGCTGTCAAGGGAACATGAAGGATTTTTGCTGCTTCGACGGTCATTTGTTTCCAGCTTGATATCAAAGGACTGGGCAACACATTTGGGCACAAAACAGAGGTGCAGCTCATCCAGACGTCTGAGATGTTACAGCACTCAAAAAGGAGCTAGGCAGCCAGCATCAAATCCACGTCAGGAATTATACACTTTAGTGGAGCCACAGAACAATTTGTGTTCCTGGACTTTGATGAACCAGTGGACAATAAAGATGATGAACTGCTAGATCATCTTCTTTTGCATGATCTCACAAGTAATGCAGAAGCAAAGCCAGCGCATGAAAAGCATGGCAATTACATGCACCTTAGAGGACTGGAAATGCAAATGAAACATTTAAAGGGCTCTGCAAAGTCTGAAGTGGAGGAAAACTCATTGATTGAGTTCCACGATGAAGGATTCCCACTGGACAGACGCACCAAATCAAAGAAGGTTAAAAAGCAACAAAAGATCTATGGCACTCCTGATGTGGACGTGGCAGTCAGTGATACCTGTTGCTCCGGCTGCGGGGCCCTCATGCACTGTACGGACCCTGAAATCCCAGGTTACCTGCCAAGTGAGAAATTCAAAGCGTTAGCTGAAGAGGACCAACTGAAGAAGGCAACATGTCAGAGATGCTTTTTAATCAATCACCACCAGAAAGCTTTGAACGTCACCATGTCCAAAGAGGAGTACAGAGCGATTGTCAAGGGAATTAAATCAGAGAAGGCTTTAGTGCTGCTGATAGTGGATCTTCTGGATCTCCCTGACTCCATCATCCCAGACCTTCCAGAGCTTGTTGGGAAGAATAAGCACATTGTGATTTTAGGAAATAAAACAGACTTGCTGCCTGGAGATGGTGAGAATTACCTGCAGCGTATCAAACGTCAACTGAAGGCATACTGTGAAAGCATGGGCATTTCTACCATTGATAACAAAGACATCCACCTCATCAGTGCCAAAACAGGATATGGTATAGAAAACCTTATAACGAGACTGCAGTCGACCTGGAAGTACAAGGGAGATGTGTATTTGGTCGGGATGGCCAATGCTGGCAAATCCACGCTGTTTAATACTCTACTGGAATCTGATTATTGCAAATCCAGAGCCTCAGATGTGATTCATAAAGCTACTATATCTCCATGGCCTGGTGAGATATTTCATGCAAGATAATTGGTCAGGAATTAAGCTAAATATTGGCCTTAATCAGTAAATATGATATATAAATGATATGCATTATATAGGTTAACTACACTTTTGCAATCCTGTTTCACAAATATATGCTGCCGGTCAAAAGTTTGTAATAATAGAGGTTTTTATTCAGAAAATCATTCAGATATCATTTTAATATGTTGATTTGTTGCTCAAGAAACAATTCTTATTAGTAAAGTTGAAAACAGTTTTTGATCATTAATATTTTTGTAGAAACCATGATACACTACCGTTCAAAAGTTTGGGGTAGATAGATTTAAAAAATAATACAATAAATAAACAATACTTTTATTCAGCGAGGATGCATTATTTATCAAAAATGACAGTAAAGACATTTATAATTAGCCTATAATTTTACAAAAGATTTCGATTAAAAAAATGTTGTTCTTTTTAAAATTCAATTTCAGAAATTCAAATTTCTATTCATCAAGAATCCTGAAAAAAGTGTCACATTTTCAAAACTGCATTCAACATTGATGTTAAAATATGTTTCTTAAACAGAAAACCAGCAAATTAGAATGACATCTGAAGAATCATGGGACACTGAAGAGTGGAGCAATGGCTGCTGAAAATTCAGCTTTGCGTCAGAAATAAATCACACTTTGCAATATATTCAAATGAAAAAGTGTTCTTTTAAATTGTAATATTATTTCACAATATTATTGCTTTTACTGTATTTTTGAGCAAATAAACACATTCTTTGTGAGCATAAGAGACTTCTTCCAAAAACATAAAACAAAAAAATTACTCCAAACTTTTGACCTGTAGTGTGTATAAGAGAGGAATGTTTCAAGTACTAAAACAAGAACAAAGCGCTTTTTATTTAGCATGCTTGACCCTTTTAGTAATTTAAGAGTGTGTTGTGCATTCCTGAATGATTAAGCTGTTAAGATATGATATGTGACCCTGGCTGTGAAAACCCAGCTAAAGTAATTTTTTTGTGATTTATTGTTTTCTACATAAAATCATCTTACCTTCATAAGGTAAAGAACATTCTGTGAAAATGTAACCTTGATATCTTTAATATCGACTGAGTAAGGCCATGTCAAAGATTGAAATCATAGTGAAATTAATGGTTGAAATCAAACTTTGATGCTTGATATCTCATAATTGGATTTTGAGACTTTAGCCTGGATTTCACAGAGAGGGTCACGTATTGATGTCCAAGTTATTTAAACTGTTAAGAACACATTTTTCTGTCCACTGTAAATCTAGGAACAACATTAAATCTGCTGAAGTTTCCTATCATCAACCCGACCCCCTACCGGATGTTCCGGAGGGCAGAGAGACTGAAGCAGGCATCTCATTTGACAGAGGATGACATGAATCCTGAAGAGCTGAAGAGAATCATACAGTTCAGCAAGCAGCGATATTTGGTTGGTGAGTTTGTGAGTTTTGTTGTTTTAGGAACCCACAATATATCTGTTCCTATCGGTTATCAACAGATATTAGAGATTTTTTATTTATCTGTATCGGCAGATATTGGATATTTAAATGTGATTCTAATTTTCATTTATTCCTTGTATGTAAGGACTAGTCAAATGTTTGCAATAATTACTTTTTTTTTAATGTTGTTGAAAGAAGTCTCTTATGCTCACAAAGGCTGCATTTATGTGATCAATGATACAGAAAAAAATAGTATTGTGAAATTTTTACAATATAAAACTTTTCTATTTTAACATTTTCAAATGTAATTTATGTTTGTGATGGCAAAGCTGAATTTTCAACAGCCTTTTTTCCAGTTTTCAGTGTCACATGATCTTTCAGAAATTATATTTGTTAATAATACGTTTGTTATTGTTAATAATAATGATATTTGTTAATAATAAATTAATAATCCTTAACATTTTACAATTTTACTGAATTTTCCTTTTTTAAAATGGGAGGCAGCTTATTATTATTAATATTATTTATTATTATTTTTTAGGTCACATTGGGAGGACATTCCTAGCAAATCAGCCACCCAAGAAAACTCTTGTGGAATTTGATCCTGACAGTCTGAGCTTTGGAGAAGACCTGGAGGAAGATGTTAAAAAGGATCCATCCTTGGACTCCTCCACAGATGCAGAGCTCAGCTACAATGAAATCAAAGATGCACACTGGTTCTATGACACCCCAGGCATCATGAAAGAACATGACGTAAGTCTCCCTATTCAAACTGTACACACATAATGTGATATAATTATGTTCATAATTACAATCATTTCTGTATACTCGTATTTTAAAATGTCTATCATTATGAATCATGCACCACTAAGGATTCTGATCAAAATGTAACTTTCCAGGTTCTCAGCCTGTTGAATGAGCAGGAAGTGAAGCTGGTGGTTCCTACACAGGCCATTACGCCAAGAACGTTTGTAATGAAGCCAGGTATGGTTTTATTTTTGGGGGCTTTGGCGCGCATTGATTATTTGGAGGTAAGATTTCATTTGACATTTTGAAAACAATCTTTTGCTGTATCTGACCAACACCAAGATGGCTCTTTACTCTCTCTAGGGAAAAAGCTCATGCTGGTTAACAGTTGTTGCTTCAAATCGCATCCCGGTACATATCACCAGTTTAGACAAGGCTGATGCAATCTACCAGAAACATGCTGGGAATACCTTTCTTGCAGTATGTATAAATAAATACATTTGTATTGTCATTACTATAGTCTTCAGTATCACCTGGCCCTTCAGAAATCAGACTAATATGCAAATTTGGATGCTCTAGAAACATTTATTATTATCAGTGTTGAAAAGAAGCGTTGTTCTACATTGTTTTGTGGCAAGGTCCCATCTGGTGATGAGGAGCGCATGAAAACTTTTCCACCACTTGTTGCTCAAGACTTTGAACTCCAGCGGCAGGGCTGTAACACCGCAATCGCTGACATCAAGATCTCATCAGCAGGTCATTTTTTTGGGTGCCTTTCCAGGTTTTTCCAGTTGTCTACATTTAATTAGCTTTTTAGATTGTGTAAGGTTTTATAGTAAATCTCATGACCAAGTCTTAAAAATGTGGCCAGCCAGGGCTCATTATAAACAAAAAAAAAGTTAAATATATTTAAAGAAACTTAAATTTATGATGCCTTTTCTTGATTTTCAGGCTGGGTTGCTGTGACAGCAGCCGAAAGAGATCAGCTGTTGTTGAGGACTCGCGCACCTGAAGCAGCAGGACTGTCTGCGCACCCCGCCTTTACTGCCCCACATCGTGAATCTGAAAGGACAGAGAATCAACAAAACTCCCGCCTACAAGACGAGAAAGCCACAGGCGCTGGTAGACACCGGTCTGTCTGAGAAAGCTGCTGAGAGACTCAAAGTGAGAAGGAAAAACTGAAGTGTTGTTGCTGTTTCTTTTGATACCTCTGAAGCTTTTGTTCTTCAAAATATTGAACTCAAAATATGAATGTATTGTTTTTTATACTGTCTAAATTATAATTAAATGTTTATATATTTCAAATATATTAAAAAAAAATTTTTTTATATACTTTCAAATAAAAAAAAAACAAAACTGTGGCAAGATTTTTTTTATTGAAACATCTAGAGCTATACATACAGGTCACATAGTAAACAGTTTTTCAGATCATTCATAAAAAGCCATATCAAGGGGACAACATTATAACATTTCAACTGATATAATTTGACTACTTTTACTAGGAAATGGAAACGACAGTCACACACTTGATTACAAAGATGGATAAATGGCACAATCTGAGTTGTGAATTGGCAACATGCTATTCTAAAGAAGAAAAGCAAATTGCTTAACACAAAAAAAGTGATAAAGGACAAATTTACAGTGATAAAGTATCCAACCGTCTAAAAGTGTAGTTTTTCAGGTGCACTGGGTCCCTGTGGATAGCACGTTTTCTAGTTTTCCATCTGAGGCCTGTGGTTTTGCTCCTACAAACTTTACCAACTACATCTTGCTTTGGTAATAAACCCAAAAATTCAATGTTGCACAATGCACTAAAGGCAAATTATTTCTATAACCTTTCTCTTACAGTATTTTTTTTTCTTCCTTTTTAGACAGAATAACATGGCAAATTTACTGATATACAAGGGTTGTGGCAGCAACACATTCACACTCGTACAAATAAACAAAAAGGTCAGTACAATACGATTAGATAAACTTTGGATAAACAGATTTTTAATGCAGATAACCAATTTGATACGTGTAAGGGAATGTTGCTTGGGTAAAATACACAGAAAAGACGAGCCATTCTTTCATTTGAAGGTAAATAAGATCTAAATATCTGAGACATTGATTAAAATGCTCAAATTGATTGTCTGAGGCACTGAAGAGCAAATAAGAAAGAAAAATATGTACAGTTTATATACAGACAAAAGCAACAAAATCTTTGGACTGAGCATGAAACTGAAGTATTACCAGAAAATTGACAGATAAAATAATCTACAAACTCGAGAAGTGAGAGTTACAATGCGAAGTGTAAAAAAAAAGAGCAAATTTACAATGAAAGAAAAAACCTACTATTCCACAAATATTACGAACTACATGCTACTTTCCTTGAAAGACAGAGCAAGTGTAATCAAAGAAAAACCTCTAGGAAGTGTACAGAAATCTTTTTTGTTCAAATTAAATGTTTAGCTTATGTGAAACAGAGCCTCAAAGGTAAGCTTATGGTTAGTTGTCAAGTGCTCCCTAAACTGTATTCAGTTTCTTTGTTCCCTTTTACAATGACATTAGCCAGCTTTAAACACACTCTCCGTCTCTTGCTGACCAGAGATGGAGGTGCTTCAGTGGAGTGGAACAGCACAAAGACACTGAAAGACCCATTATCTTCAGGGCTATTCAGCGCTGGACCACCTGGGTCTGGCTAATCGGAGCTCTCCGCAGGGATGGAGGGAGAAAGTGTACTTGCTTTCAGAGTAGTTCTCCTTTTTGTTGCTTCCAAGTAGTGTAACAATAAACACAAGAAAACCCCGATGATCCTACCACAAGTTGACAATGGGTTTAATTTCTGAATTGAAAGTATACTGTGTTATTTTAATGTTTCATGTTGTGTCATGGCAAACTGAAAACAGGCATAGATGTGGTCATCTGTCATGAGCTGTAAAGCCATCAAAAACAACAAGAACCTTATTTTTATTACAACTTGAACAAGATTTGTTCAGTTAGAAGTCTAGGAGAACCTCATAAACTGTTTTGGACACAAAAACGCTGCCCTTTTTCATACGAGATACCCCTCACTTGTCACCCTGAGCCGCCCCTTCTAGGTAATACACATTTACTAAATGCCGATTCAAGTGGCGACGGTAGTCCATCTCAAGAGAGAAGGTACGGTCACAGAAGATACAGGTGTGACTGAGCAGTTTGGATGGAGACGGAAGCTCTTCTGTCGGAGTCTCTGGAAGTTTCTCTCTACCCTCGGTGGCAGCAGCCAGTCCGTTAAGACCAGAGTCGCAGCTTCCTTCAGAGGCGCTATCGCTGATGTCACTTCCCCCATCATTACTGTGGATACCTTCGTCATCCTCTGCGTCGGTAGATTTGTGACCGGGTGGACCAGGAAGTTCAAGAGTTGGGCTGAAACCCGGAGAGGTCTTGTTGTCAGTAGGTGATGGCATCTCACTTCCGCTGTCTACATCTGGAATTTCTTTTGGCTCATTTGGGACCTTGTTCTCAGTTTCTTTAGGTTGTTCAGAGTCTGGAACTTGGGGTTGGCATGGAACTGTGAGTTCCTCCACAACAGAAGCAGTCTCCTTGTGATTTCTCTCATCTTGGCAGGTCACTACTGTAGGTGTCTGCTCATCTGGTTGGTCAAGTACCTTCAGTGTTTCTGTGGTGGACTGTTTTTCAGCTTCTAGAGTGTTTAGCTTCTCTGGGACTTCGTTGGTCTTCTCAGGTTCAATGACACAAGTCTCAGGTTTGTTTGCATTTGCCTCAGCATTCTTGGTTTTGCTCTTCACGGCCTGTAGAACCTCAGGTATGGTACGATTTCTCTCTGGAGCACCAGAACTTGTTGATGGCTTGGCTGTATCTTTCTTTGTGCGCTTGACCCGCTTTGAAGGACAATTAGTTTCTGAAGAATCAGTCGCTGGTACTTTCATGTTCTCTGCTTTTCTTTTGACAGGTTTGCTCTGGGTATCTTTTTCACGGTTGACCTTTGACAATTTTGTCTGCCTCTTGCATGGCTTCTTGGGTTGAGGTTTCTTGCAATCTTTTGCACGTTCTTTCTCTTCAGTCTCCTTCGCTTTCCCATTCAGCAATCTGTTTTCCTTTTCTAGCCGCTCTCTTTTCTCTTTCTCATTTTGCTGCTGCTGCTTCTCTAGGTCTTTCTCTGGTCTTTCTTTATCCATATCTAATCTTTGCTCAACAACAGACTGATGTTTTGCAGTAACTTCACTGGCGGTCTCCTTCAATGGCTTCTCTTTCTTAGGACGACCTTTCGCTACTTTCTCCACAGATTTAGGGGATTTCTCTACCTTCTTCATTTCCTTTTTATAAGCTTGTTTGTCATTGCAGCCTTTTGTTTGTGCCACGGCAATGTCCACAGCTTTCACCAAAGTCTTTCCTTTAACCTTCTTACTGTTTTTCTCTTTCACCTCATTTTTCGGCATGGTCTTTTTCTCTGCAGTTTTTTCATTGAGTTGTTGGGTTGGCTTTCCAGATTTTTCTTTCACAATGACATCTGGGTTTTTCTTTGCGGTCTTGTCAGTCAGCTCAGTCTCCACAGCAAGGGTGGGTTTAGTGGGTTTCTTAATAGAGAGGTTGATGGGACCTGATTCAACATCATCCAATTCTCCCAACTGCTTGTCCTCACTTTGCCTTGATCCAGACTGGTCTGTCGCAAGCTTATTTGGCGAAATATCATCCGTGTCAGTCCTCTTCACACGAAGCCTTACCTTTGATACGTCCATCGAGATATCAGTGCATCCTGGGTGTCTGGACTTGATGTGATACTGCAAGTTGCACTTCTTGGATGCAGCGTATTTGCAAACCGTGCAAAGAAACTGGCGAGGGTTGACATGGAGCTCAACGTGCTTTTTAAAGTTGCTGCGGTCGGCTGTCTTGTATTGGCAGTAGGGGCAGCTTAGGGGCTTGGGTCCATTGTGGACCTGTCTGACATGGCGAGTCACCTCGTGCTGGTTGGCTGCCAGGTAGCTGCAGTTGTCACATTTGAAAGGCCTCTCACCTATTCCAGACAGACCATAAAGAGAAGGTCACGGCTGAACAATGAATCTTTTATTTCAACATTTTGAGAAAAACACAGATGCAAGTCTCATGCGGGGATAAAGATAAAAGACACATACAATACAGAATCACATTCTAATTCACTCTGTATACTACAAACCGTGTACCATTTTATCCAAAGCCATCTGGCTCCACGGAGTGCAACAAAAGAGAGAAACATCATTGACAAGATGAAAACAGAGGCCTTGAGCACATTTGCTCTGTCCCAAAACCCAGAGAGCTCACTTACAGAGGCAAAATAGTCACCTTGAAAAATGAGCACTCACTTTATAAACTTGTATAACTTTCAGATTTAATTAATTCCTATGACTTTTCCCAAACCTCAAACAAACTACTTTAAAGGGATAGTTCACCCAAAAATAAAAACCGTGAAACGTTTCATTTGCATTACTGTCTATGCAGGGTCACAAAGCTCACGGATTTCATCAAAAATATCTTAATTTGTGTTCCAAAGATGAATGAAGTTCTTATGGGTTTGGAACGACATGAGGGTGAGTAATTAATTAAACCGAATTTTCATTTTTGGGTGAACTATCCCTTTAAACCTGATGCACAATCACAGGTATTTTACAAAGAATATATCCCAGAATACACTGCAACAGGTTTAACAAAAAATGTAATTAATAAATAAATTATTCTTTACATGCTATGTATTTTAATTATTTTCTTCTAAATATCATATAATTATTTTAGCTGTTATTGGCCAAATCTATTAAAATTTTGCAAGTTTTGGAACAAGGCAGCTCAGTAGGTTTTGGAACAGATTTATTAAATCAAAACCTGGACTGGAATGAAACAAACTACATTATAAATCCTAAAATATAACTATATGTACTAATCAATTTCAGCTTAAGAATATTTCAACAGACGGACAAGAGACTCACCTGAATGGGTTCGCATGTGTCTGGTGAGATGAGTTTTTTGGGAACTGGAGTAGTCACAGTATATGCACTGGAACGGACGCTCACCTAAAAGAAGAATCAAATAAAATAGTTTTAATTTTCACATATATTTCTGATTATATAAAAGTAAACTTAAATCAACGTGATTTTATAATGAATTGAGACTTAATGGAAAATTTTAGATGTACCAGTGTGGGTCCGGATGTGCTGTATGTAGTTATTTTTGCGGTCAGAAAAATACGAGCACTGGTTGCAAGTGAAAACCTTGCTGGGAAAATGATTCCTCAGATGTTTCTTCCAGTGATACTGACTGATGGTGGTATAAGCACAAATGGTGCACTTGAATACTCTCTGGTCTTCACCCTCCTTAGCATGATGTTTAAGGTGTGCCATGTAGTGGTCGTAGCGGTTGGTGTTGTATCCACAGCGCTCACAGCGGATCACGCCTTTGGAGTTACTCAAACTTTCACTATTCTCTGGGTTTGGCGTCTGAGATTGGCCTGACTCACTGGCCAGATCGTCGTCAGAGTCAGCCACGCCATTTACCACCGTCATTTTCTTGGTGCCGTGAACGCGGATATGGTGAATGAAGTCCTCCTCGTTTTCAGCCTGGTACTGGCAGGGTTTACAAAAGAAAGGCTTCTTCTTCTTTTTGTTGGATTCGAAGACAACAACTGGGGTGCGCTTACGTTTTTCCGCTGGTGAGGATTCAGATGGGGTCTTTTCAGATGGGTCTGCTTGCTCCATTTCAACCTGCTCTATCACTCTTTCTGTCATTTCTGGCTCAACCCGAGTGGCATGTTCAGCGTACGTGCTCTCAGACATCTCCGAACTGTCAAGGCTGTATCTGATAACACCCTCTTCCTCGCTGTCAGAGTAGCTGTTGCATCCAACGGTCTTGAGTTCCACCATTTGTTTCTCTTCTGCATTGTAGTCTGAGGAAGACGCCTCTGATGATACCACCACATTAGCGAGCATCACTAGCTGAGGGGCTGCCACATCATTGCGAGGCAGCTCAGGAAGGTCATGGCCCACCTCTGGTACTGGGATGCCTACAGGCATGAAGATACCAGCAGCAGCTGGATACACAGTCTGAGCAGACATGCTCAACCAGCTGAAATGCAAAAAGAAACACTGATTTTAGTGCCACTGAAAATATAACTGGCAATTTAAGTTTAAGAGTTTATAAAAATGTGTCTGTGAAATGAAAGCAGAAGATTGAAAGGATGTGAGAACTGTGACATCTTCTCAGAGCAAGTCATCTGACTATGACAAAACAAACAGTTCCATGTAAATGAATGATTAAATCGAAACTCATCATTTTCTGAGATAAGGAGTCTTTGCTGAGCCAATCTCTGACTGATTAACCCTACAAGGATAAAGCAGATTTCAAATTTCCACTCCCAAACACATTTTAAATAAGAATCAAACAAAGCCTAAACCAACACATCTTTATAGAGCCAATAAAGTACCCTGTTCTTTCTTGTATGAAGTCCATTAAAGCAATAAGCAGCTTTAACTATGGGTTATTTTAGGGAATTACAGCAAACAAGCATCTATATTCCAACATTTCAGCGCTCCCAACTAGGGCTGGACAATAATTCAATATCAATATGTATCGCGATATGATTTTTTTCAATAACGGTGATATGATTTTTAAACACATTTCCGATATTTCAAAAAACATTTTCGTAAACTGAAAAAAAAAATAAATAAAAATAAATTGATGTGTGTCGGTTTAGGGAAATACCGGGAAATACCCGTAAATGGCGCATCATGCACGTGAGGTTATCTGACGGAGAGACGCAAAGCAGTTTAAAGCAGAGTCCTGCACGGGTCCTGTTAGGTAAACCTGCATCCGCAGTACACAACAGAACACCCGACCCGTTATCCGACAGCAGCCAGCACCAATTTAATTCTGTACCCGACCAGTTTGACATAAAGACCACGACCTGGACCGCACCCGCATTAAATAGGCTACTGCATCAGTAAGGCAAAATTATTTATTTTCTCATGTGACACAAGCAATCAAGCCAAAATAGGCATTTTAAGTTGGTGCTTCGAAGAGAAATAGACAAGCAGCGCAAAAGAAGAATGATAAGAACGCGCATCCTTCCTGTATACAATACAAACTTTTGCCTACATCTTGTAAACAATCTGCAAGGCTGTTTTGAACAAATGTGCATAAACTACACACTTAATTCTTCATAAATGAAAAGAACATATTTAGATATGACTTTACCGTTAAGTGCCATTGTCTCTCCTTAAACTCTGCAGTGTATAGGCTATGCGGCCGTTAGTCCTTTACAGAAGCATTAAAAATAAATCT